CCCATTTATCTTCTAGTAAGCAATTATATTTACATATATTTGCTTCCGCTCCTGTATCTATCATAGGCGTATAATATCTGTTGTGGTATCCTTCTACAATAATTTTTGCAAGTATAAATATTTTCATTAATCATTTTGTTCTTTTTGTAATTATTTTCTTATTTTGGCAAGTTATTGTCAATTGTTCATTTTCTATGCTGTATGGTTTAACCTTTTGTAACCATTTTATTCCTAATGTGATATTATGATTTCCTTCATATATCTTAAATTGTATTTTTAATGGAATTCCTCCTATAATTATTTCTTTTTCTGTTGTTTCTTTATTTGTATTTACTATTTCACTAGGTAATCCAGGGCATATGTGTCCTGTTTTCATAATTTCTTCTTCTAATACTAGTTCTCTTGTTATATGATTTTCTTCTTGTCCTGTGTTTATCAAGATTTAATATTTTCTCTGGTCCACTATTCCTGTTATAAAATAATGATATTTTGTCATTTCTTCTAAATCTTGTGATATTTCATATTTTCTTTTAGATGAACTCATTCTTGATGAGGAAGCTCTTGTTAATGTATTTGGTACGCTTGAGGTGCTTAATCTTTCTTTTACTATCTCCAATTCTTCTTCTGTATCCATTTCTTTATAACTATAGTCATTATTATCTATTACCGTAATTATTCTTTCAAAAGGATTTTCTTTTTTTATTTTATCAATTTTTTTCTTGCTGTTATTTTATGTTTTGTTGTTAATATATATAGATTTTTACATCTTGCTGTGAATACCTTACATCCTGGTGCTAACTCTATTCGTGACATTTTCCAATATAATACTAATGATTTATCTATATTTGTATCTATTAATGCTACTGTATAATTGACACTTATTATAAATTTAAATTTTTTGTATATTAAATTTCTTTTAACTGCACTTATTACACTTTTTTCTATAGGATGTTTTATTCTATCATCTGCTAAATATATTTCAATGGGCGTATCTATTCCTTCTCTGAAACAAGCTTTTATTAGTATTTCCGTTCCTCCTAAATGTACATATTTTATAGCTTCTTTATTTTTTATGTTTTGTATTTCTTTATTTATTATTCGTTTGTTTATTATAGGTATATATGCTTTTCCGCTTGTATATTTACCGTCTATGATGTGTTCTTTTTGACTAACTACATAGTATTCTTCTTTCTGCCTTTTAAACCATTAATTATTTTAACGTTGTCTATTGCAAATATAATGATTTCTAGTTGTGATATTTGTTTTTCACTTATATTTTCCATCTCCTGGTTTATTTTTTCACAGCCTTTAATCCATTCTATAGATTTTCGTTGTTTATTTTTTACTCTTTTTGCTCCTATTTTATGGCCACATGGCGTAGTAAGCCACCAGTGTGTTTTTGTTATTATGTGTGGGTAAAATTTATCTAAAAATGGCATTCCTAATAACATATCCTTCGTGGTAAATTCGAAATTATACATTTCTTCTATTGTTAGTATTTTATCCCATATTTGTATTTTTATATTTTTTGCCTTATATTTGATCATACTTCCTTCATTATTAGATATAAAAAAGCACCAGGTAGATATCAACATTTTATGGATAACAGTTTTAACCAGCTAGAAAATTGTGTTATATTTATATAGATGATATATTATTACATTCTAAAACACAAGATGAACATATAAGATTATTAGAAAAATTTATACATATAATCAAACACTCAGGTATAAGATTAAGTAAAAGTAAAGCAAAAATTATGAAACCACAGATAGAATTTCTAGGAATACAAATAGATAAAAATGGAATAAAAATGCAAACTCATATAGTACAAAAAATAATTACTATTGATGAAAATATAGATACAAAAAAGAAATTACAATCATTCTTAGGATTAGCAAATCAAGTAAGTGAATATATACCAAAATTAGCAGAACATTTAAAACCATTATACAAAAAACTCAAAAAAGATATTGAATATCATTTTGACAACAAAGATAAAGAACACATACAAAATATTAAAAAATTATGCAAAAAATTACCAAAATTATATTTTCCTGATGAAAGTAGAACATTCACATATATAATTGAAACAGATTCAAGTGACCATAGTTATGGAGGAGTACTAAAATATAAATATGACAAAGAAAAGGTAGAACACCATTGCAGGTATTGCTCAGGATCATATACTGAGGCACAAACAAAATGGGAAATAAACAGAAAGGAATTATTTGCATTATATAAATGTTTATTAGCATTTGAACCATATATAGTTTACAATAAATTTATTGTAAGAACAGATAACACACAAGTAAAATGGTGGATAACAAAAAAGTTAGATGATTCAGTTACAACGAAAGAAATAAGGAGATTAGTATTGAATATATTAAATTTTACATTAACAATTGAAATTATAAAAACTAATGAAAATCTTGTTGCAGACTACCTATCAAGAAAAAGGAAGTCCTTTACCTTGAACTCACTGTGCATGTACTGCTTTGCATCATCAATAAGTCTTTGACTTCTCGCTGTAAGTAGTATATCATCCACATAAATCAACAACACCACAATATCATCACCACAATGTTTAGTGCACAAGGAATGATCATGGGAGCTCTGCTTATAACCTGCATCAATCATGCCAATGGTTAATTTAATATTCCACTGTCTTGAGGCTTGTTTGAATCCATATAGTGATTTCAACAGTTTACATACTCTATTCTCCCCCTTACTGTGAAATCCTTGTGGCAAAGACATTTACACTTCCTCATAAAGGTCTCCTTGTAAGAATGCATTTCTCACATCCATATGAAAAAGACTCCAATCTTTTGAAGCTGCTACACTGATGACTGTTCTTACTGTCCCCATCTTTGCCACAGGGGAGAAGGTTTCATGGTAGTCCAAGCCTTCTGTTTGAGTATATCCTTTAGCTACTTACCTAGCTTTGTACTTTTCAATTTCTCCATTAGCCTTGAGCTTAACTTTTTATACCCATTTGGACCCTATAGGCTTCTTACCAGCAGGCAAAGACACTTGTTCCCATGTTTGATTATCTTCTAGAGGATTAATCTGTTGTTGCATTGAATCTATCCATTCTGGATGTTGAGTTGCTTTTGCAAATGTTCTTGGTTCCTGAATAGCTGAAAAAGAACTCAAATAGGCCTGATACTTGTTAGACAAGTGTGAGTATCCAATATAGTTGGGAATAGGGTATTTACAATTTGTTGTAGGTTTGGAAGGGGTAACATAGTCCTTGAGCCAAATAGGAGGTTTTACATTTCTAGCAGGTCTTCCTGAAATGTTAAAAGATGGATCAATCTGTTGATTATATCCAGCTTCATGAACAGCTTCATTATTTCCTACAGTTAATTCTAAGTGATCTTCATTGTCATTTTCACCTGCAAATTCCATATACCCCGGAACTATAATTGCAGGTTCTTATGTAGCAGTATCAGGAACTTGTATCCTATGTTGAGCATAATCATTTTCAGTAACTATCTGATTAGAAGTGCCAAGTGGGAGAACAGTGAACATATCTTTAGTGTCACAATGTAATTCATCTTTAAAAGGAAATATTATTTCCTTGAATGTCACATCTATATTAACAAACATAACTCCAGTTTATATTCATACAGCCTGTAGCCCTTTTGATTCTCACAAAAACCTATCATGACTGCTTTTCTAGCTCTCTCTTGAAATTTGTCACCTCTAGGGAATATACTAGCAAAGCAAAGACACCCAAATACTCTTAGATGATCAATCTTAGGTTGCTTCTTAAACAACATTTCATATGGTGATTTTCCATTCAACACTAATGAGGGAAGTTTGTTTATAAGATATACAGCAGTTCTCACACATTCCACCCAGAATCTGATTGGTATTACCACTCTGAAACTTCTGCGCCCTAGCCACTTCAAAAAAATGTTTCTGCTTCCTTTCCACTGTCCCATTCTGCTGAGGAGTGTAGGCACAACTGGTATGATGAATGATTCCTTTTGACTTGAACAAATCATCACATTGAGAATTAACAAACTCTCTACCATTATCAAACCTAAACATTTTAATCGACACACCAAATTGATTCTGTATTAATGACAGAAAAAATTTTAATACATGAAACATTTCACTTTTGGATTGAATCAAACAAACCCAAGTATATCTGCTATAATCATCTAACAAAGTAACAAATGAATGCTTCATATTATATGTAGGTTTCTTATAGGGTACCCACACATATTAATGAACTAAATCAAAAGAGGTTGTAACCTTGGTAGAATGTTCAGGAAATTTAAGTCTATGATGTTTAGCTAATGGACAGATATCACACTGATGATGAACTTGAGGGTGTATCTTATGTGGAAGTGCTTTAATATGTTGCATAGCTCCACCAGAGGGATGTCCTAGTCTATAATGCCATAGAGTATCTTCTTCACTTCTAGTGATTTTAGCTGAAATGTTGGCTGACGTATTAAATGTGCTTGGTAGACAATCCTTCAGTATGTATTAACCTTCTCTTTCTTTACCAATCCCCATGACCTTGCCATTGGAGAGTGCCTGAAAGATGCAGAAATCAGGGAGAAAAACAACAGCAGAAGACAATTCTCTGGTTAACTTGGAAACAGAGAGCAAATTGAATTGAAACTCAGGAACATGTAGCACATTGTGAATAGCTTTATCACCCATAACTTGTGTCTCTCCTTCACTGCTGATTCTGGACTTATCACCTGTTGGAACTTGAACCTTGCAATCATCTTGTACAGTTTTAAGAGAGGTAAGAAGCTCCTTTAATGGAGTAATGTGATGTGTAGCAGCTGTATCAATTATCCACTCATGTTCTAATGCAGTAGATAGTAAAGCAGTGATACCTGCTAGATTTGATAAGTATTCAGGGTTGCCTCCTTTCCCTAGCATTTGTCGTATTTCATCATATTGCTGGTCACTAAAGAAATGTCCCTGAGATGAGGATGTTTCTTCTTTTGCTTTATGCGAAGTATTAGCTTTTGGTCTAGTCCCTGATGAATCTCCCCTACTAGCAGGTCTAGGAGATCTATAACCACCTGAATTGTGTTGCATCTGACTTTGAGGCCTATATCCACTACCACGATTCTGATTGTTTCCAAACGAATTGAATCCATCACCTTGATTACCACCATTAGGTCTAAACTGACCTGATCCATCATTGTAGTTTTCCCTCCTTTTACTCTGAAAACAAGGAGGATAACCAACCAATCGATAACAATTATCCTTTTTATGATTCCTATACCCACAGTACTCACAAAACAAATCAAATCTCTGAGAATTATTAGAAGTATCCAATTCCTTCTTAGGCCTGTAAGATTGTGACTTACCTGCTAGTAGTGTTAGTACCTCCTTTTTGTCATCAACAACACCTAAAGTTCTTTGACTCTCTTCTTGTGATACAATTGCATAGGACTCATTTACAGTAACAATTGGATTCCTAGCTAGAATGCTACTTCGAATTTGACTATAACTTTCATTTAATCCCATAAGAAATTGTAGCAATCATTGAGATCTTAAATTCTCCAGATAAAGTCATGATTCCCTGCAATCACAATGTGGTAATGGTGCTATGATGTCTAATTCATGCCATGCATCCTTCAATTTTGAATAATAAGTAGTTATAGGATCCATACCTTGCCTTAAGGTTGCAATTTCAGTCCAGAGATGGTAAATTCTCGTCAGATTCGATCGATTAAAACACTCTTTCAACTCAATCCAAACTTGTTTAGCATGTGATGCATATAGGATAGTTGGCATTAACTCAGCTGCTACTGTACAACCAATCCATGACAGCACAATTGTATTGCACTTCTCCCTCAATTCAGCTAATTCTCCTCTGTATTGATGCTTTGTACATGTTCCATCGATAAAACTAAGCTTGCCTTTTCCTCGAAGAGCAAGTTGCATCGATCGACTCCATAGTGTGTAATTTCCTGGTCCTGTAAGTTTGATTAGGATCATAACTGCTCCTGGTGTATCCGAAGCTTGAAGAAACAACGGATGGTGATGGTCTACCACAACAACACGTGATTCTGCAGATCCTTCTGCAGATCCAGTTTCTTCAAAAACTGTCATGGCAATTCTTCAAACAAATAAAAAATTCACAGCCAAAACAATGATCGTTGCTCTGATACCATGTAAAATTTAGCTCAATTCAGTTTCCTAGGGCAGAAATTATACTTCCCACATGCATACAGATCATCTTTTGAAGGAAGAGTATGAAGGAAGAAGAGTATTTTCTTTATTATTGTTTTCTGAAAAACTGGTCATACAATGCACACCACTCTACTATATATATAGCTGTCAACTAATTAGTTTCTAACTAACTCAATTGGGACCACTCAGTGACAGCTCAGCAATTCCACTAACAACCATACTAACTAACTAATTCATTTAGTTTTAATAGTTGTAAATTTTAAATCAATTAAAATCCAACAACAATACTATAAAAAGGAACAATAGAAGATAGAACTAAATAAAATAGGATATAGCTAAGACGAAATTTCTAATTATTTTACTAAATAAAAGATAAAAATTTAAAATAATACTAGTATTATAAAATCATTCAAAAGACCAAGCATTATCTTTACTGATCTTCTTCTTCTTCCTGTGGAGTAAAATCAACATTATCTTTAGGATCTCTTCTTCTTTCTCTGGAGTAAAATATTTTAATCATATGCAACTTCTTGACATATAATATCGAATATATCCTTATAGTTAGGAAAATAGTTAGCAACTAAGAAAAGAAAGTACAAAATCGAGTGGTGCACCTTCACAAAGCCTTGTAAAAATCCATCAACATATCTTCAGAGACACCATCCACCGAATGTTCTTTCCGTATTCAATAACTTTGGTCATTGTTTTGCTACGGACAGTGGGCAGGGGAATGATCTATAACACAATCGTCTTCAACCGTAATCATGATAGCTTGTGACCTTACCTCTATCGCTATATCCAGTACAAATACCTTTCCATCCCAAGTCTTTAGAGTTAAACTTTGTTAAAGAAGACATGATAAAAATATGTTTGAATAGGGGATATTAATTTGTTTTTGTTGAGAATATTATTGAAAAGTAATTTTAATGATTATAATGTTTGAGAGGTTTGAACGGTTTAAGTTATAGAGGATAGGTTTTCATTATTCTAGTTTGAGTAGGAAGTCAAAGCAGGGAACTAGAAGTTCATATAAAAATTTATGGAACTATTGCTTAAAAAAGAAAATTTTATTGTAATTGGAGTTAATGGGTGTTTGAAACATCCAATCTTTATCACTTAGAACATATATAACAGACATGAAGATGGTGAAAAGTACAAGAAAGTTTTTGTTGTGTATCTTCTTTATAAATTTGAAGGTAGTATAACTTTGGAGAATGGTGTTTGAAAAGTTGTTCGACACATCTTTTTTTAGCTTTTGCTAGTTTTCTTTTTAATACCCTAAACAAGAGGGGAATTAAGATCGTAGATGATTTTGTTATATAATCTAACTACTTTTAATTTCTTTCTTCCTAATCTTCTTGTTTATAAATTTTTTTAAAATACATGTAAAGATAAAAGTCTAATATTCAATATGAGACGGAGGAAGTAACGTCCATCATATTATTATTTTTTTATGTTAATTGGCTTCCCAACATGAACATATGAGTCGACAAAGTATTTTAGGTCTTATAATTTAGAGAAAAATTTAATCATTGCCTCATTCAACTATAACATATTTTTAAAAATACGCGGAAACTTTTGAAAGATCCTAGTACACCTCCCCCTCCCCCCCTAAATAATTTAAACAAGGTAAAATTATGCAATTTTTTGGTCAATCTCCGGTATAAGAAAGAAAGTGCATGTGCGCACCAACTATTACTTACCATATGCAAATTATTTTTTAATTTTTTTTTCATTTATTTCTCATTGTATTTTTTATACAAAAAATTATCTTTACTTTTTCAATTGTTAATGTACATTGAACTGCTCTAAATCCAACCATTTTTCTCCTCTTCCCCACCACTGGCTTTACTGCTATAACATCATTTCAACCATTTAATTTTCTAATCCTAGTTATATTGGGTAATGGAGGAGATCATGTGATCTAAATTATTTGAATAGAATACTATCAATCTGTCATTAAAATATTTCGAACATCAAATTTATAATATTATCGATCGCAAATTTGTTAGTCATTTCTAGTGAATATACAATATATTTAGTCATTTTTAGTTGGGCCACTAAAATCCACGATTTTATTTTAATTTATTTATTTCTAAAATTAATCTTCCCTTTCAGGAAAAGGTATAATTTTCATGAAAAGTTTCAACTTTTATAAAAAGTTGTCACTTTTATGAAAAGTTACAACTTTACAAAGAGTTGAGACTTTTATGAAGATTTGAAACTTTACGAAG